TCACCATCGGATTAACATTTTCTCTCTCTTCAAAAACTTTTTAACATTCTCTCTCTTTGATCCAATGGTGATTTGATAGGTAATAAGGTAGTAGTGGACACTTTTGGTAGTCAAAATATCCCTCCTCTTATTATATATACATGCTAAGATATTTGCGGTTGAATTTTATAATAAGCACATAATTTGAATGAGAATCTTGACACAACGGTTAGTATTATCGCTATGTAACCAAGATGTCATAGGTTTGATTCATTTAATCAGCCTTTCGCACATGCAAGTGAAAATCGCCTATTATACAATGGATTGCAGGAGCTTTATAGCACCCTGCTAACCTTTTATTTATAAGGGCAAGTTGAAAATTATGGTTTGAACTGTGGATATGTTGTGGTGTGTGGGGTTCACTATCAATCCTATTAACATTACTCTTTTTTATGTGTTTCAATATGGAGAATCTAGAGTGTGACTGAAGGAGTGTTTGTTTTTTTTTCACTCTTAGGATATGGTATTGTGCAGTAGTTGGCTTATTCATTGACCACTATTAAAATATTGCATGTGTTATCAACTGGTTGTGTTTGTAAATGCTTGACAAAATCTGTCTGTTTGGTTCTGGTTACTGGTTAGTGATTGATAATTGGTGGAGTTTGTTGAGGCTGTTTCCTCTTAAAAGTGCAGCACAATAATAGTAGCTGTTGGAATATTAGGATTCTTATTGTTTTGCAAACCTTATTATGTTAATAGTCTTGTTGAAATAGGCTTCTACTAGTTATGCTGCAATAGTAGTTGACCTTGATTAAATATGAGTATTATGTTAGTTTTTTTGTAACACATCATATAATAGATCTCATATTATTCAGAGTCTCTTCTCTTCTTTTTCATTGAAACCCTATAATTTCAACAGTAGCTATTTAGTAGAAAGGAAATTGGCATATTCTCTGTGTGAAGACTGCCAATTGACTGATAGAAAGTTTTTTTATGCCACTAATTACCTCCTCTGATTTAGTATTTATATTTACAGGTTGTGCACTAAATGCATAATTTAGTGGCCTCCCCAATCTCTGTGCTTGATGATCATGTTTTTGCCCATATTAGATGCATTAAGCTATCTGGTGAATGATGAGAACATTACAAATAAAATTTTTCTTGGAGCTTACTTTGACATGATTTACAGGCCGTAACGGAAATAGGGAAGGAAGAAGGCATTAAGGGTTACTGGAAAGGCAACCTCCCCCAGGTCTCTATAATTAGCAACAAATTTATTGGTATTTTTGTATGTATATCTCCTTCTAATGTTGACTAGTCTTTTCATTTGCTTTGGTGTTTGTTCTTTTAATGTTCCAGGTGATTCGGGTTATACCGTACAGTGCTGTCCAGCTTTTTGCTTATGAAATTTATAAGGTTAGCTGCTATCTGTCAAGAATTTCTACTACCCAAACATTGCATGTTCAGGTCTAAGTTGTATTTTTGGGTTTACAGAAAATATTCGAAGGAAAGAATGGTGAGCTCTCTGTTGTGGGAAGACTTGCCGCAGGTGCTTTTGCTGGCATGACATCAACTTTTGTAAGTGATTCATTAGGAGGCCCAGCCTTGTATGGTTCTCAGTTGCTTTCATGATGTTACTGTGTTTCATTGCAGGGATTAAACTTTGTGTTTAACACTTATGAGCAATTTCTTTTTTGTAATTTTTTTTTATATTTTTCTCATTTATTAATCTTAATGTATGTATCTAACTTTGTAAATAGAATATATCTTTGCAGATAACTTACCCGTTGGATGTCCTGAGATTACGATTAGCTGTTGAACCTGGTTGTCGCACAATGTCAGAGGTATATGATTAGCCTGCTTAAGTATTATCACAAGCCCTGCGTATGCTAATAAACCATATCTGTGTTAATTAACTATATCGTGGCTTTTCCAGGTTGCCTTGAGCATGTTAAGAGAGGAAGGATTTGCGTCTTTCTACTATGGCCTTGGGCCTTCTCTTATTGGAATAGCTCCATATATTGCTGTGAACTTTTGTGTTTTTGACTTGTGAGTTGATCAGCAATCTTTTATCTTTTAAGTACATTGGAGATTGGATGTGGACATTGAAATTGAAACTTCCTGGCCTTCTATGGATGATAGATTAAAGAAGTCGTTGCCAGAGAAATATCAAAAGAGAACGGAAACATCTCTACTCACTGCCGTACTGTCAGCATCTCTTGCCACACTTACATGCTATCCTCTGGACACAGTGCGAAGACAGATGCAATTAAAGGGTACACCCTATAAGACAGTATTAGATGCCATTTCAGGTGAGGACTGCTCGTGTATACTTTTTAGCATCAACATTTTGTAGTTACTGGCATGTTAATATTTGTGCACACATTAGTAAGAAATATATAAAATTGATTCACTTTATTGGTGCATTTAATTTAATATTGCTTTCAGCTGATATGATATGTAGAATAATCAGTAGTAAGTAACCACATTATATATGACTTTTTTGTATCAGCTTCAAAATTATCACCATGTGTGCCCTTCTTAGATGTTAAAATATCATTACTGCATGTGCATGTAATATATGGCCATTTTTAGTATGGCAAATTCATCCGACCTTCATATGAGGACTGTTCATTAATGAAGTAGTTGTAAGAAGGGCATGCACACTAACACTCACAGATGAACACAAACAGTGGTCTTGACCAAGTTATTATTCTTTTTGTGGTGGATGACGGTAGACAACAGTGTGGAAAAAATTGAAAAACTTCATTTTTCAGTGTATATTCCTAGGTAGTTGATTTATGGGAATTTAATTAAATGATGGGGACTTTGGATGCTTTTTCGTACTATTTCCAAATTATTTATCTCATTGATGCAGGTATTGTGGAACGGGATGGAGTTGTTGGCTTGTATCGGGGATTTGTGCCCAATGCTTTAAAAAACCTGCCAAACAGCAGGTACTTGTGATCTTCTATTTCTAGTTACTATGTTTTCAATCTAACATGCCTTGTGAAATTCTAATTTTCTTAGTACTTAACTCCTCCGTCATTGTGATGTTCAGTACATTTGCTGAAAAGTAAGTGGATAAAATCCTATCTGAAACTAGCTTGTTTATTTTTAGATTGCTAGTGCCACACCATGCCACTAAGCATACACAGCTATGATCAATAGAGCTAATTATGGTTATGTATTTTTCTTTCAAGTAGATTGTGATTAGTTACCTGATATATTCCTTGTTTATCTTGCAGCATCAGACTTACCACATATGACGTTGTTAAACGCCTAATTGCAGCTAGTGAGAGTGAGTTTCAAAAAATTACTGAGGAAAACCGCAACAAACAAAAGAAACACCAATAGTCAATGATAGTAAACTTAGGATTCATAATGTTTTAGCCATCCACGGTGAAATTTTTTGGGGAACTAATGCTGCAACAGAACCATCTATTATCTGCTAGCAGTGATGAAAATATCTCAGCAGCCAATATTTTGTATCTAGGGGCTTTGAATTTTATAGGACACAAGTTTGTGCTAGGTACGCTGTAATGCTATATTCTTTTGCTGAATATATTTTAGCTGTAATTTTTGTAGTGATTTTGTGTTTGCCAAACTGAACGGCAATAAAAAAAAAATGTTTGTGCTATTTACGCCTACCAAATGCTAATATGACACAACCTTTTGCTCCTGCATACATGTTAATGTTACTATTTGAATACATTAAGATAGGTTGCGTATTCGTTAGATTATAAATGTATTTGAGCGATAAAAACTAGGTCTAAACAACTCTTACTCTTCCTTACGCTGACTATTAATAAGGGAAGCCTTAGAGTTGCAATATATGCAAAAGTTAATGGAGTGCAGGGGGCATCTAGCCATATATAAACATGGGACAGGGTCCGTTTACAAACTTTTTTTGCAATTATACTAATGTAGGACCGGTCGTACACCGTGTGATTAATGTAGGACTGGTCCTACATAATGTAGTTTGTAAGAGTTTGTAAACAAAAAAGTTTGTAAATATAACATGCCCCTATAAACATAACCTAATGGTTCTTCCCATCAAAACTCTAGTATGTTAAGGCCTACACTAATTTTATTAAACCGCACTAATTGAGTATTAAGTGTCTTAAACTCCTTACAAATAGATCACTAAGTTAGTGGGTTTTAAAACAACTTGAAATGGATAATAGGGAAGCTTATATTTACAAACTTTTTATTACCAACTCTTATAAACTATACTATGTCTGACTGATTATACACTAATTAAGAGTGTATGACTAGTTATAATTAGTGTAATTTGTAAAAAAAATTGTAAACGGATCATTCCCCTCATAATATTCTCTCATTTTTTCTCTAAACCAAGAAAAAAATTTGATTGAAGTGCACAATTTTTTTTAGAAAGTTCTAATATCATATACTAAACATTAAGCGAACACATAAGGAACAAGGGATCCAACAACCACAGGGAACTCTTGCTCGTGTGACCTCAAATTCCAAATAACAGTTCTCACTTTTATTAGAGAATTATTCCACATGTTTCATATATGAGTTATATTTATCTCATTTTGCATGAGATAATTAAATTTTCTACACACAAAAGATGGGTGGGTCTCACTTCTTCTTTTTTTCTCTCCTCTTACCTATGGATCCCACTTGCAATCTTGTTTCTACAACATAAAATAACTATTTTCTTACAATATAAGAAAATTATTTCCCTTCACATATATTACATGTTTGATATGAAAATCTTGGATAAAAAATCAGCCGAAGAGGTCTATATACGCAGTCAAATACTTTGAAAGCTACTGCAAACTTCTTCAGCTTTCTGTCTAGAGATAATAATGATTGAAACGAACAAATAAAAAATCGATTGAATCTTATTCTAGGTTTTGATGCTGCTACCCTTTTATCAAGAGAGACCAAAATGGGCCAAAGCCTGCATTCAAGTGCCAGCAGTTACTTCCATAGAGTTATTGTGAACGCAAAAGATTATGTATGCATGTGTACACTGAACATAAACTTAGCTACTAAGCTCAAAAATCTACATCAGTTGCTGATTTAAGGGTTATGTTATTAACATCAGCTTGGTCTGGAAAAAAAGCTGACCAAATTTTAGATATGAATTATAATTACAGGAGTTATAAGTATAGATTTTGACTATTTATGTAAGACCAAGACAATGTTACAGATTATGCTTATCGAAGGGTGTTGTTCTCTGTACAAAAAAACAGGCCCCAATAACAATACAGCACAGCAGGAGAACAAGGCCTTTCATGTAGTGAGAAGTTCCGTCCTATAAAAGATACACCGAGAAAGACTTAGATATCATTGAAAGATTGAATCAAGATATATACCAAATGTAACTAACTGTAGTGTTTCTAGTAGCTGAGATGATGGTAACTATACCTGTAATTTAAAGGCTGTGGTTATTATTGCCAAAGCAAGAGAACCTGTCTCTATCAGGTTGAAGTTGAGGTCCATTTTGATACCCATAATCCAAGCAACAATCACACATAAGGGTACCTATATTGTAATTAAATTTGCTTGATGTAAGCTTTCATTAATCCAACAACAAAGGTAAATTGAAACGTCCATTTGTTATTTTTAAAAGGTGAATTCTTACCACAAACATGCTAATTTGAGTTGCAGAACCCAAAGCAACACCCAATGAGATGTCCTGAAGAAACATCATTAGGTTAGTTTCAAGCAAATTATGTCAAATAAAAAGTATGGAATTTTGTTAGTACTATTAAAAGTTCGAACCAGCTTGTTCTTGAAAGCAAATATGCTTGCTCCTGCATGTTCAGCTGCATTGCCAACTATTGGTAGCAAGATTATGCTGAGGAAGCTTACAGACAAACCCCATGAATCTGATGCATCCTTTTCATATTCACATTTTTCTCATCACTATTAGTTTTATAATAGTCAAAATGGAAGTCTAGTTCTGTTTCATCTCTCAAAATAAATGGAAGCCAAGTACCTCGATTGTTTCCACCACATATTCAGAAAGCAAAGCAATGAATACATTCATCCCAACCAGCCAAACAATCCCACTCCAGAATCCTATCACTGCTTCTTCTGAAGCATTGTCACACTTAAATGTAAAATAATATGTTGTGTATTGATCTGTGTCAGAGAGTTACAATATATAGAGACTCTAATGGGCTTAAGTGAAAGGCCCAGACCTAATATGTTGTGTATTGATCCCAAGGTTCTTTACATGGTATCAGAGTCTCGCCGTCCCCCACTTTCTCTTGTGGAGTTTCTTAGCACAAGTAGGCTGGGCCTGTCGCATTGTCCACGCTTCAAGCCCAAAGGGCTCTTTGTGTGAGGGGGCGTGTTGAGATATATAGTCCTACATTGGTTGTATGTGCAACTAATGTGGAGTTTATAAGGACTTGGGCACTCCCACCCTTTGAGCTAGCTTTGTGTATCCCAAGGTTCTTTACAGTCACCTTCATCATCACCTTCCTGCAATGCACGATGGTAACTACTAATCAAATATTGGCACAAATCAGAGTCACAATTTGTTTAACAATTTCATAATTATAGAGTGCGTACACCTTGGGCTTCAAATAATTGCCGGTGAGTCCACAGTTGGATGATAATGTAAGCAAAATATGCAATCACCATCACAATGCTAGTAACTCTTGACAACTTCAGAGATGAGTCTACAGTTACAGCTTCTGAGGCACCACTATATTTGAACAGCATTGGCAGCAAGTGACACAAAAATGCCAAAAGCAGCATAGGCAAGTTCATATCTACCTGTCTCTGCAAATTAAATAGCCCAAATAAAAAATTGCAAAACATTCAATCCTTAGCAATATCCAATATTTCAATATAAGGAACACAGAGAACTGAAAGTATGAAATTAATAGATCAAACTTTTAATGAATTGGATGGCCTTACTGTGTCAAATTTTTGTTCCTGTTTGAGGTTTGCTAGGCCACCACAGAAAAGAGAGGTTCCAAGAACCACAAGAAGGTTTGAAAGGATGGAACCAAGGAGAGAATACTTGACCACAGCAATTTTGTTATTACTGAGGGCAAAAATTGCTATGATGAGTTCAGTAGCATTCCCACATGTTGCATTCAAAAGTCCTCCCACTGTGATTCATAAAATATATAAGACTTAAGTAACATTACAATCAATTGTACTTCTACAATTTCTAAGAGCTTTATTTCTAATTCTAACACCATAATTTGACCAATTCCAAGAACACATATGACATATATCATATGCCTTGTCTCAATAAACAAGTTTTATCCTATAGCATTTGTCTGTCAAGAGAGTCTAGAATATGTGATTGGGAGCAATGTGATGACAAAAACCAATGAAAGAGATTATAAACAAACTTAGATGTTTTTCTATTTATTTTTTCTTGGTAATACATTAAAGTTCATTTTTTGTCCAGAGGTTACACTGACTAGTAAAGGACACTGAAATTATGACGAACTCTTAAAAAATTAATATGGATTTGGATCTGGTCATGTTATTTGATCACAATCATTCATTGATGATGAGATAAGAGAGAGAAAAATGTATGACTTTTAAATGAGTGGTTGTGATCAAATAACATGATCACTTTTTGACATGAGAGTATTCAAATCCAATTAATATAGTATAGTGTGGGTTTGTACACACCTGTGGAACCTGTGTAATAAGCAACCTGTCTTCAATATTTGAAGCATCAAATCCCAAAGGAGCAAATAAAAAGAGAATCAGCATTCAACACAGAAAAAAAAAGATTGTTTAATGATTAATGTACGGTCCAAGGATAAACAAAAGTGCAAAAAGAATGTCATAGTTTCGGAACAGTAACCATTTTGTCACTGTTGGCAAAAAAAATTATCAGACTGTCACGCAAGTAAATTTTGCCAAAATGTCACGTGACATATTTCGTTACATTGTGTAGCGAAATATGTGTGCAAATAATTCGCTACACAGTGTAGCGAAATATGCCACATCAGAATGCTCAGAACCAAAAATGTCATATATCAAAATTGGAGAAATTCGCTACATAGTGTAACGAATTTCTCCAATTTTGACACATGGCATTTTTGGTTCTGACGTGGCATATTTCGCTACACTGTGTAGCGAATTATTTGCACACATATTTCGCTACATAGTGTAGCGAAATATGCCACGTAACATTTTGGTAAAATTTACTGTTTGCGTCACAGTTTGGTACATTTTTTTGCCAACAGTGACATTTTGGTCACTGTTCCTATAGTTTCCTTACTCTGTCAGAAAGCTGAGTCGTTCAGCAAGTGGGGTAAGCCCAAGTAAGCTCAACGCAAAAACCCAAGGCTGTTCGTATATGCAATTAAAGAGAGAAGACATATCACAATAACATAAATTTAGCGGGCCTCATTACACCCAGACCCAAGCATGAAGGAAAAAGCCCATTTATCTCCTAGAATATTAGACTTAGAGAGCCTATCTTTTAGAATAATTAGAATTAATTAGATTAGGATTTTTAATTTCGAATTATCTTTTATCCTTATCTTATTTAGTTAGTATTTCAGTAGGAGCCCATCTTAATTTATTTATCCTAAACTTTGGGTGTGCAATGGTTGGCTCTTTAGCTTAAAGGTTTTTTTTATCCCTTTAATTTTTTTATTTGGTATTTGATTCCTAATATTTACTAATAGGGGTTGTTTTGTGTCATGGGGGCTCCGGCGGCACTCCTCCCCTCATTACTCACACGTTTTTTTTTTTTTTCAGGTGAGTGCGGCCCTCCTTCTCCCGCTGCACTCACATGATTGTGTCAAGTAGCATAATTTCGTTAATCCCGTAACCGTAAAATTTTGGAAAGATGTAACTTTTGATTTGGGTATCTAAATCAGATAATTTTTTTATTTCACATAACTTTTTGAGATTTACGTAATGACATCTCATTTGGTATATTTTATCTTCCATAAACGTAGTTCAAATTTGCAACAATAATTCCACAATCACAAGAGTATTTAAATTCAAATTTTAACGGGAAGAGGTAAAAACCCTTGATTTGTTTAAATTTCTCGATTTTCAAATCAGGTTTGCTGAGATTTTAATTAATTGAATTTCTGTATGTTAGAGTTGCAACATCACCTGTGCGAGACAATAATTAATTTCAAAATTTGTTTTTGTGAAGAAAAGAAAAAGAAAAAGTGGGAGCAAAAATGAGGAACCCTAGCAGTAGGGAAAAAAGGAACAAAGCAGAGCTAGATGATAACATGTTGGCCATACTTGTTGCCTCTGAAGCTACATTATACAAACTCGAGCTATGTTTGCGAGAAATAAAATATATCATATAAGGTGTCATTGAGTAGATCTCGAAAAGTTATGTGGAATAAAAAAAATCATCTAATTTGAATATCCGAGTTAAAAGTTAGGGCCTTCCGAAATTTTACGATAGTGAAACTAACGAGATTATGCCACGAAGGGAGGGCACTCACCTAAAGAAAAAAAAAATGGGTGAGTTCCTCGGGAGAGGGGGCAGCACTCAGTGCCACTGGCCCCCCTCACGTTACTAAACAATCTCTTTTGATAAATATTGGGTATCAAATACCAAATTGATACATAAAAAATTTAAAAATCCCCCATTGGTCAAAGAACCTGCAATGGTTAGACCTATTTTGACAGATTACAACAAATTGGTAATGTCTTTTACTCAACATGGGATAGAAATATTACAAGTTGACTTTCCAACACTGTCCTCAACAATCTCCCTTTCCACCTTTCACAAATTGATCGATGTCCTTAAATTCTATTACATCTTGCCTGATATGTTTTGTCAGCTCCAATCATACCAGTTCCCGTTAAAAAGCAATATAGTATGAGTTTGCAGGTTATTCATGTCGTGTTGTGTCAACTCACAAAATAAATGATTGTGTTTGTGTTGAAAATTTTGACTCAATTTTAAATTTGTATCGTATTCGTGTTGAATATATCCATATTCATATCAAATTTGCATCGTATCGTGTATGTTGACCTAATTGTGACTTCTAAGACATAATCACTTCATTAACCTAATTCCCAACTCTAAACTTGTCCAGGTATGTATGCTCATACCGTTATTCCGACTTCTAGAAAAATGAAATT